ATGAATAAGGTTGATTTTCTCACTGTTGAATTATACAAAGGTTGTTGTGGTGTTCAATAGAAATGATTAAGCCAAAGTTTGTAGTCTGCATATTTAAGTGTTTCGAGTTCACTTCCTCAGAACGAACTAGCCCCTTGTTCTCAAAAGTGAAAGCAGGAAAGAATATCAGTATATTTCAATCTATTATTTGCATGCATTTTACTTTCCAGCTCTAGAGACTTTTACTAAAACAGATGGAGGACCAGGCTGTGCTGGATTCCCGTTCTGAAGTTCCCTCAAGCCCTGCAGACAGTGCTTTAGTGGCCTTTGCTCTGGAAAAGCCTCTTGCGGTTGCCCCAGGAACAAGTGTTTTCAGGCTTCAGGCAAGCCAATCTGAGAAGCAGCTCTTTGAACCCATGGGGTTACCTGGGAAAAAAACAAGCCATACCTGTGCAACCCCAAAATAAAACGTTTGGTTGCCCTAAAACTCATTGATTTGTCCAGCTGTGTTAGCTGATCAGATGAAGGGTATTACCAGTCCCCACAGATCTGCTGCAGTTAAGTTTCCAGGACTGCATAAAAAGTCATTGTGTGTTTCATGTTTTGCCACATCAAAGGCAATTGTTCAAACCAGCAAACCTCCCTCTAAAGGGTCAGTATCACTTACATTGAAATACCCCTCCTTGTCATCACTACCTCCAAACAGTGGTAACTGTGCAGCTAATGCCTTGCAGTGTTTGGACTAAATTATCAGCACTTAACTGCTGATTCAGGTTCCTGGTTAACACTGAGGTCAACATATAAGCCATCCTGCTTGTCTTTCTCATGCACGGTCAAGTAGGCATCTACCAAGTTACTCCAACCCCATAAACTAATCCGGTGACTGAACTTCTCTTCAAGACAGGTTAAGGTTACAAACAGCAAGTGGTCTGCATTGCAAAAAGTGGGTCAGCCAGGCATCAAAAAAATTCTTGTCCTTCTCTTCCCTGGCCATAAAACAAGTAATGCTTTTTGCTTCCATCAGCAACTAAGAGTTTAAGCCTTTTGCTTGCTGCAGTCAACACCGTTAGATACGGGCAGTTTCAAAGACCAAATGTTATTTCTGCTGTACCACATGCCAGTAAATTGATGGGGTTTTTTCCCCCTCCCAGGAATCTGTTGCTGTGGGTCTGCCAGCTGTATGTGACTTTTTAAGGTGCCACTTCTAAATCAACATGAAATCACAGTAGCCAGTTCATGTATTAATACCATGTCTTGGAATTTTGCGATTTCAGGAGAAACTCACTTGCTCTTCAAAAAGTAGTTTTCTGTGGCAAAGGCTTGAAAACATGAATGTTGGGGATATAAAGTCTGGCTTCTCACCTGGATTTTCCAGTTTTTCCAGATATAGTACAGAGGTCCAGCAAGAAGTGTCAACTGCAGTATTCATGCACTGCTCTCCACTAGAAGTCCTCCAGTGCTTATGAGCTGAGCCACCTCTGCTGGCTTTCTACACTGTTGGGGTCTCTCCCCTGTCTAGTAACAGACTTTTGTTACAGCAAGCACATCAGCTCCGATATCATTACCGATCTATCAGATTTGATCAAAGAGTTCAAAAGGAACTTGAGATGAGGACATCCACATTGGCTTTGTTTCTCCTAGAATCCAGGCTCAAAATAAAGAGAAGCGTCATGTCTTTCATCTAAAAGGCTGGTGTCCTGCAAGTGGAGTTATGATGAATAGAGTGAAACTGAAAGCCAGAGAACACGGAGTGCTGGAAGGAAATCACCCTGTGCTCACACACAGTGTTACCTGTTCCTCCAGCAGTTCTCTCCACTGTATTGCTTCAGGGGGCTTCTAACTAGTTTTTGTAGTTGTCAGCGTATCATTTTATTTTAACTGAGTTCTCATTCATAAGGCATAGGATTGACAATGGCTTTGGTATTAATTTCATACATCAGTTCTAGGAGAACATCTTTATAACTTAAAATGGAGGGTCCATTCTGATCCTGTTCAGTGTATCTTGATTTGATATGACAGTCTTATTACCTGCTCCATACATTATGGTGGGGTGGGTTGGGGCTTTTGGGGTTTTTTTGGCGTAGTCACCCTTTTCCCCATAATTTATTTTTATGAGGTTATGGCTGCTAAATTCTGGCCCTCTGCTAAGGTCCATTCAAGAAATGTCCACTTCTAGTGCCTGCACTCTGGCTGAGTCACAGCTAAAGGATGAAAGCCCATCAGAAGCCAGGTGTGTATCAGTGCCCCTACATGAAAGGGGCACTGTTGAGCTCCCTCTGCAGAGATGTGCTGCAGATGGAAAGTGGCAAGAAAATGCTTAGGGAGCTGTTGGCTTCCAGCTCTTCTCCGTACTTGACCTGGGCAGGGCAGGGCTCTTT